CCTTCAGACTCAGTGTGTTAGCTACTTGGTTACTCTTTCCTGTCTTGTGTTCAAATTTAAAGTTGAATTCAGCCAACGACTCTTGCCACCGAGCTTGTTTTGCCGTCAACTTCGGTTGATCGAAGAAGTGGCAAATAGCACTGCTATTCGTCTTCACCACGAATTGTGATCTCAAAAGGTACTGTCTCCAGACTTATAGGCAATGGACCACAACTAGCATTTCTTTTTTAGAGACATTGTACCTTCCTTCTGCATCATTGAGCTTTCAATTTTCATAAGTGATGGGGTGGCCTTCTTAGATAAGGACATCGCCTAGGGCAAAGTCGGAAGCATCTTTCCCTATTTCAAATGGCTTAGAAACATCCACCAATCCGAGGACAGGACTCCTCGCCATAGTTGCCTTCAGATCTTCGAAGATTATTTGACATTCATTTGGCCACGACCAAGGGTGGTCTTTTTTCCAGAAGTTTTGTTAATGGGGCAACTCGTCGTAAAAACCCTTCGACGAACCACCTATAATAGTTTGCCAATCCTAGGAAGGATCATACATCGGATACGGAAGTAGGAGTTTTCCACTCTTGGATAGCTTTTATCTTGTCGTTGTCCATACTGATCTGCCCACAACTAATGACATGTTTAAGAAAGTTATGCATGTTTGTGCGAAAGCACATTTTTTCTTTCTTAACATATAACTGATTCTGCCGCAGCTTGTCAAACACTAACTTTAGGTGCATCTTGTGCTCTTCTAGGGTTGCTCTGTATATGACTATGTCGTTGAGGTATACTATGACGAATTTCTCCAAGATTCGTGGAAAATCTAGTTCATTAACGTGCCAAACGTAACTGGGGCGTTTGTTAGGCCAAAGGGCATTACAAGGAACTTGAAAGCCCCGTATCTTGTTACACACGTCGTCTTGGGCTCATCCCCTTCGGCAATACGTACTTGGTAGTACCTTGATCGTAAGTCCAGCTTCGTGAAGTATTTAGCCCCGTGAAGTTGGTCAAACAAGTCGGATATTATTAGTAGTGGGTATTTCTTACGTATAATCACCTTGTTTAAGGCTATATAATCTATGCACAGACACAACATCTCATCCTTCTTCTTCTAAAACAGTACGGGGGTTCCATAGGGTGCTTTGCGGGATGGATGAATCCTGCCTCCAACAACTCATTTAGTTGTTTCCTCAATTCGGCTAGCTCAAGGGGAGCCATCCGATATGCATTATTCACTGGAGGTTTAACCCCGGGGAGGAGTTCAATTTCATGATTGATGCCTTGACGAGGTGGTAATATTTGTGGTAAGCTCTCTGGCATTATGTCGGCATAGTTGTCTAGTACATCCTTGATTTCGCTCGGAATGGTCTCCTCAGTGGTCACGTCTTCCATCAGGGGTATAGCCATAAATGTGGGTTCCTCTCGTGCAAGTCCTCATTTCAATTGTATGGCAGAGATCATTCTAAGGTTACTTGGTTGCTGGTTGCTTGATGCTTGCAGGTATTATTGTGGGGTTCTGATTGGTAATCACCAAGCATTTCGCCAGTGGCATTGGGATAACTTTTTGTTCTAAGAGAAAGTCCATCCCAAGTACTACATGGAAGTCGTCTATACAAACCATGACAAGGTCCATTTCTCCTGACCAGGCCCCTAATTTCAAGGGGACTCTTTTGGAGACTCCCATGATAGGCAAGGCCTCGGAGTTGACAGCTTTCATTTTTCGGGTTCCTTTTCTATGGTGAGTCTCAATCTTCGGGCTTCTTGGTTGGCAATGAAATTGTGGGTCGCACTTGAGTCTATCAAGGTGTTCTTGCTCGGTCGTTAGTTTATTGTTGCGTCTATGAACATAAGCCCTTTCTTTATTATCTCTTTCGGGTCGACCTTCCTTTGGAGGGATGACAGGAATTTAAGCGCACTCATTCGGGGGTTGTCTTGATCTTCCTTCTTGTCTTGTGTAGTCTCGACTCTTGTGTCGTTGCTCTCTTGAATGGACATTTGGAGTACACTGAGAGAGGCTCGGTGAGGACAGTAAGACAGTTTGTGGGGGGCCTTTACACAACAAGCACTATAAAGGCATCGTTGGGTAGTTCTTTTAAGGGTAAGGTCCTCGAGATGTCCCCACTTGGTTATTATGAGGAGGTCTATCTGCCCCTCCATTTGGTCTGTCGTTACTTTCGTTTGGCCTATTGGGGCCTTCGTTTTGATGACCTTGCGTGATAAGCGCCTACAATGCTGGAATTTGCAAAGTTAGAGGTCCTTCTAGAATCCTTGCAAAACGTTCACAGAGAAAGCTAACTTAACGGATTGATTCCAACCAAGAGCTGGTTAGAAGATGAATGACTCTTAGATCGAACTTGGAATCTATGATGGTCACTCTTAGATACCAAGACAATGCACTCCAGAATTAGCTTGATCAAAACTAATTCAATGAATCGATTTAAACATCAAACCTAAAGCAAGGTTTGAAAAAGAATAACACCAAAAGGGTATAAAAAAAACACAAGGTTTTGTCTATATTCAACCATCCATCCCAAACATGAATATTACATGCCTTTAAATAGGTCCAAAAGGTAACCCTAACATAATAAAGTTCAGCCACTAACCACAAATCACTGATGAAATGCTATTAAATACAAATTGAAGAAAATAAGGCATTAATAAATTGTCTTAATTGGTAATTCAACTACTAAAAGCAAGTCTTCTATTACTTTCCAATATCAGCCACTCCATTATCTTCTTGATTTGATATGCTAATGCTATAAAGATTTTTGGGCTCAAAAGTCTTTGTTTCAACTTGTACACTAGCTAACTTTTGAAGATGCAATGTATAGGCCTCTTGAATCTTCTTAACCTTGCTTCTTGTAATCGATCCTTCGGGTACATGCAAAGGGTCAGCAGTTGAATTCATATAATTGCGGCTTATATGCTTTCCCCCCAGTATTTGAGGTTTGTGTAATTTTTCTTTGGAAACTAGCTTCGCTTCCAAAGTCTAGAAGTCTTTCGGCATTGGCGATTGTGGTGGCTAGGTCTTAAACCTTTTTCTCGTATATTTTTGTCATGGCCCACGATTGCAACCCATTTATGAAGAGGAATACCTTGTCTTTCTCTTACATGCCCCTGATATCCAACATCAAGGTCGAGAACTGCCTGACATATTCCCTTATGCTTCCAGTTTGTTTTAGTGCTAGTAGTTTTTCCCTTGCTATGTATTTTATGTTTTCGGGGAAGAATTGATCCCTCAACTCTCTCTTGAGGTCTTCACATGAGTCAATGATGCATAATCCATTTTCAATGTCTTGCACATTCAAACGCCATTGAAGCTTTACATCGTCTATGAGATGCATTGTGGCTACTGTAACTTTTATGTCTTCGGTACAGGCTCCTATGGCTTTGAAGTACTGTTCGACATCAAAGATAAAGTTCTCAAACTCTTTGGTGTCCTAGTTCCCTTTGAAGGCTCTAGGATCTGGGAACTTCAGCTTGTTGGGTCCTGTATGAGTTTGCCCTGACGAGACGTTCTCCACGGCTTTCATGGTCACCGCAATTCGGGTGTTCATCTTGGTCATCTTTCCTTGGATGGCATCGATCGTTGTTCTGAATTCGTCAGCTAATCCATTAAACAGCTTCATCATGGTATTCTTTTAGCTCGTCGAACTCTTCGCCACGTCCCTCTTTGTGTGCGATAGAGCTATCAGAGCTACCAGCAGGTCTTGAGCTGCTTGTAGGAGTAGTTCTTTCTTTGAGTGAGTCCACTCGAAACATTAGTTCTTTGATCAGCAATCCATCCAGGCGGTTGCTGATTGCATCGATTTCTTCGACTTTTTCATTCAATTTCATCACTCGTGCTTCCAAGAAGCAGATGGTGCCAGGGACTTCTTTGAGTAACAACATTTCCTCCTCTATCAAAGTAAGCCAGTCGGCTTGTGATTTTGTGTCGACTTTATCGTCAACATGGTTTCGGTCTTTAATATGTCACGAAGCTAACAAAACTCTGATACCACTTGTCACAATCAAACTTTTGATGGCAGCGGACCTATGATTGTGCAGCACTCACTTCCCACAACAAGTGAGTTAAGCCTATTTGTTCTTGTGTCGCCTACTGCCAAGCAACGTATGCTCGAGCCTCTGGCCCCGATTCAAGAAATTTTAGAAAACGGGGGCAGAGAGATTTCAAAAGAGAGTTTTGAAAGCAAGATTTGAGAGATTGAAATTGGTGTTATATGTGATGCAAGCAAAAAAGCAACAACAACGACTTACCGCATATAACTATTGGGCCGGAAGAAGTTGACAACTAGCCATATCCCCTATAAGTATATTTTGAGGCATTTCATGTCTGGTAAGCCTAGACATGATTTTTGCCGAAACGTCATACTTCCTTACAAATACAAAAGTAAAGCATGACCGTGACAGTAAGCATCATAGCACGAGTGCCCGTCTTTTTCTTTTCGTCTTTGTTTTACTATGCCGGGTCATTATCCTCTCGAGTTTGGACTTCCTCATTTGCCTTACAAAACTTTTTGGTTGTTTGTAACACCTCTTCACGATTATCAAGTTTGCCCTTTGACAAAGCTTTTCTAGTTTCAGCCTTGCGGTCTCCAAAGTTGCCTCTTAAACTTATGCCAGTTACATACCATCCAGTAGTCCAAGTTCCATGTCGAATCATCTGATTGTATCATTTTATGGCTTATAGACATATATAATGGATAGTCTTGTATGCATAATCATTACAATCTTCTAATAAGAACGAATCAGATGATGTGAAAAGCTCAGCCGTGAGAGAACATTCTTGGGAAAGAATAACGTATTAATATTATATTCACATTTGCTCAAAGCAATGTTATCTGAAAAACAATCGATCACCCGAGAGAGCATTCAATACCAAACAAGGCACGTGATGTATTTTTCTATAATCTTCTAACATTTCATTTTCACAATAAATACAAGAACTAATCACCAACCCATCCACCCACACCCAAATAAAAGGAAAGAAAAATGAAAAAAACATCTCAGAGAAGTGGCTCAGAAAGTTCCATCTCGTTTGAACTCTCTTGTTGTTGTGTTTCAGAACGGCGAGAGCCAACAAAGTCGAGTCCAAGCCACTGCCATGGCCAACAAACGTATCTACTCCCATTTAATCCTCTTCTCAAATCTTCTCGTTTATCGAGCTCTTCAAGCTGTCGGGTAAGCTCTTCCACCCTCTCCCTCAACCTGGACGCCCTCACGTCCGCCAGTTTCAATGATTTCTCCGCCGCATCTCTGGCTGCCATAGCGGCATTTACTGTCTGTTCTTTGAATTTGAGTTTATTATCCGAATCCAACATTACCTTCCTTGCTTCTTCAACTTCCTCTTTAACAGCTGAGATCTGCCAATGCCAAATTCAAGTCTCTTACCATAAAGTATTTAGCTGGAAAAGATTAATACTTCCAGTAATCATAATTACAAATTAGAATAAAAGCCCTTGATCATAGGCTGCACAAGAAGTAGTTTTGTATGAACTAGTAACCAAGTTATCAGGTCCAGACCATGCAATGGGAAAGATAAGAAGAAACTTGCAAATTGATATAAATAAGGTCCCTTGGATAACTTTTTTGTTCATGAAAATTTAGATTATAAACAATACTCCCAACCCCGTGCCAGACAAGTTAGAAGCAAGCATACCTGTGCCAGAAACTCTTGCTCTACAGCTTTGCCAGCAGCCGCTTCTTGCTCTGCAGCTACCTTCCATCTCATGATTTCTTCTTCCGCAGCTGTAATGTCCATCATTAACCCTTCAACCTAAATCACGAAGAAACCCAAAACCCAATAATTATGAACAGAAACGAATGAACAATTAACTTAAATCAATGAACAATTAATTACATACACTTTCATTGGCAACTCTCTCCTTTTCTTCAAGTTCCATAATTTGAAGCGATCTAAGTTTAAGCTCCTTGGATTGGGATTCTAGACGCTCTTTAAGTACAACTGACTCTGCCCTTAACACATGTAAGATAAAAATAAAAATAAAAAATAAAAAATAAAAAAAATAAAAAGCAAAGAAATTACAGGTCAAAATCAGCAGAGATTACATATGCATATGTATAATTCTATAAATATTGGTCGTTTCTGCGAGACCCCAATATCTAAAGTAAATCACAAATACAAAGTCCCAGGGTTTGTTTTAATCAGAAAATCAGCAACTCAGAGACTGCTGAATATATGTTCTCGTACCTTAATTCCTCCAGTGAATGCCGTAGCTCAATGATTTCAATCTGAGATGCCTTCACGATATTCTCCAGAGCACCAGCCTGTATTTTGCAAGAGAACATAAAAGAAATTTAAGACTTGATATCATTTAAAGGAAAAGCTTATAATAAAAAACAAATGCACTTACCAGGGTGAATATTTCATCCTCCTCTGCATCTACTGCTTTACCATTGTCCCTAGATGTTGAAAAAATCTCGTCTCCAAGAAGCTTGCTGAATTTGAAATCAATCCCAGCCTCCCTTAAACCATTCTCCGCAACTTCAAATAATTGATTTGCTTTTGAGGGATCAGATGTTATCCTCTTAGATAATGCACTCCTTAGCAAATTTCCAATATGTTCTTTCTCCTTGAGCAACTGCGCAACTGTTTCATTTAAATTCTTAATTTCACGAATCTTTTCCTGAGTTGAACTCCTTGTCTTATCCATAACAAGTACTGCTAACGCATATATAGATTCCATTCCAGCCAACGAAGCCCGGACATTCTCCTCTATGTCTGTTTCCTGAGGGAGGAACAATGACTCTGAAAATTCAGAATGGTCTATATCACTGGCATCAACTATCTTAATAATATCATAAATTTGGTCGTGAATTTTTGAAATGAAACCCAACTGATCCATAAGTAAAGGCCTTTGGGACTCTACTTTTGACTCCAAATTCCTTAACTTATCATCATACTCCTGCGCAACCTGCCTCAGTTCAGAAGCTTCATCCTCAGCCCTAGTTAATTTACCACACAAATCTGCTTCAATTTCAGATATCTTTTTATCCCTTTCGGTGAGAGTGTTTTCCAAGTCTTCAATAACAGAAGTTTTCTTCGAAACCTCATCCCTCAGCCCACTAATCGTAGCTTCAAGCTGAGAAACCTCAATGGCAATTTCATAATTCCTAAGCTTCATTTGTTCCCTGGTTTCGTTTCTTTCCTTCGCCGTGGTGTCAATCTGTCTAACAAGCTCTTCAACAATTTCATTTGTTCTCTTGATAACCCCATAGGCAACTGCAGGTAATCCAGTATATTTTTGAGACCTAGGCAACCCACCTGCTGTAAAATTCTTGAAATTGCTCACTTTTGCAGATATCTTATCAATCCCAGTCACTAGCATATGGGATGCATTACCAATTTCTGATCTCAGAGCATCCCTTTCCTTGAGGATCTCATCAAATTCCTTGGTAATCTCATCCCTAAGCTTTGAGACCTCATCTCTCTGCTGATTTGCCTCAGCCAACTCTGCAGAAACCTTTTCATTCAATTTCAAGGCTTCTTCCTTCTCCCTCAATGCCTCATCCCGCTGCCTCCCACACTCATCGCGCTTCTTAATCGCCTCATGGGCAAGCGCCTTTAAGCGATTAAACGACACTAGCAATTCTGATTTTGAATTCTCTGTTGCTTCTCGAGCTTGCCGCTCACGATCACGCTCCGCAAGAATCTCTCTAAACCTCTCAACAGAGATTTCTTCAGTAGAAGGATTCTGAATCACAATAGGATGTTCATCACCCTCAACATCGCTGAGCACAGCATCTACGTCTTCGTCAACACTACTCGCCATCTGTGTAACACCCCAAAATTCTAGCCTACATTAAGGCACATTACTAGATTTTCAAACTTGATCCCAAGTAAAACAACAAACTCATTTAAAGAAAAATTAGTAAAAGAATGATCAAGCAACAACATATTCAAAAAACTAAATTCAACCATATAAGTAAATCATAGTTTAGGCTCCGAGTTGTTTTTGGGGACACCTCCTCTTTTACATCACCAATCTCATAATAATCCTTATCACCAATGGGAAACGGAGGGGTACGTACAAGTGTAATCAGTACATAGCTCCCACCTGAGGAGCCACCAAACAACATACAATGTACATTACGATATCATGTATCTTACATACAAGCTAATCACGTACTATATGGAATGCGAGTAACATAAGAAACATGCTCAACATATGACTCCATATTATGCATAATGTTCCTGTTCAAAGCTCTTTCAAACACCTCCATTTCCCATAACTCTCTTTACTTCGCATTCACAAGCTCTTCAGGATTGACTCCTTCGAGTCGCATCAACCTCTAACCATTAGTACCTACGGCCTCAATGCTTCTCTGTAGTTTACAGTACTCAACGTTTGACCCTTGACCATTTGTATTCAAGACCTCGAGCTGTTACATTGCTCCATGATTGTTTGTATTCATGACGCAATGATGACTTAGCAACATATTAGTATTCCACGGTCACCACAAAACTTGCTCTATGGACTAATCACATCGATCATTGACCATTGTACCAAAGCCTTGTATCATCCCTCATCCATTTTTACCCAAGATGCACAAATATTCACCAACTTAAAAGCCTCAACCATTTGTAAATATAGTTCTCTTGGCAAAATGGATTTGGCAATACCAAGGTGAAGAACAGCCTTTGGGAGAAAAGTAGCTGATGCAATATATGACACCACAACTCTAAAAAAAAACTAGGCAAACATTTGTAGAATCAGCAAGAGGCCCATGGAAATCTATCTTGAACTTTACAACTTTGATATAGGACATAGATGAACTACAAGCTTGGGGATGGATCGAAGGTTGATTTATGGACCGATGTTTGGCTTGGAAATGGGCCTATGTATAGAAGATTCCCCCTTATTTATAACCTCTCCCCTGGTAAAGTAGTGGTGGTGCATGACTTACAGGTGCATGCTAAGGGTATTTGGAATCTCAAGTTGAGAAGAAACCAAAAGAGATGTTGAAATTGATGAATATGCCTCCCTTTTACATTGCCTATCTTTAGCGGTTCTTTCAACCGAAATTGATAGAGAATATGGGAACAAAAATCCAATTGGTTTTTTACTACTAGCTCCCTCATTCGTGATCTTTCCCCTGTAGCAAAGACAAAGTACCAAAGCCTTACGAGTTGATTTGGAAAGGTCAGGAACTTTCCCACAAAGCTAAGCTATCATTAAAGATGACAAGTTACAAAGAAGGATGCCTTACCTGGTTCTCTACCCACAATGGTGTGAAATCAACAAGAAAAGTTCAAAAACACAAGTCATTTGATTCTCTCTTGCAATTTTGGTGTGAACTTCTGGAATATCACCTTACCCTCTCTTGTTGACAAAGGATCCTACCAAATGATCCCAAGTTGCTTCCAAGTTACACTCTAGGAGGTCACCCTTCAAAAGAGAAAGGAGACTCCTAGGGAGAACTTTATCAGAACCTTTTGTTGGATTATATGGCAAGAATGAAATAGAAGAATCTTTCAAGATAAGGAATGATCTTTCTGTAGATTTTTTTTATGCTATGGTCAATATGGTTGTATCTTGGTGTAAATGCTCTCTCCTTTTCCATCACTACAGCTTTGCTTCCCTCCTTTCTAATTAGGGAAGCCTGTTATAGATCTATCCTTGGGGGGTTTCCCATTTTCTGTATCTTGTAATTTCATATCATCAATGAAATTATTTCCCATTCAAAAAAATATACCTTACTTCATTTTCTCAAAACTTAAAGTCCTCTAACCCTTTTCTCACTAATAAGACTCACAGTCTCACAAGAATGGACAATCCTATATCATGCTTTCAAGACCATGATCTTAGCCGAAAGACCACATGAACACATTCATCATGCTTTTCCAGTCAATCTCAACATCACAACACCACAGCATCCTCAACATCGCAATATTATAACTAAAACCTCAGCATGTTCAAACACATCCAAATATCTAAGAGTTCAAGAATGGCACTATATAAATCATAATTATCAAACAAATCAAACAAGACATACACCATATAAGGCATAAGGAAAACAGACTCAAGCAATAAAAACTACAGACAAATGTTGTAAAGCATTCCTAGCCTATTCTAACGGTTCCTGAAACAAGAAAGACAAGATTTCGAGGTTCGAACTCAGTTCCAAATTCTTGATTAAAGTCAAAATGGTTATGAGGAGGCGTTGCCAACGTGGACCATAAACTATGTTCAATCAATCCGAAACTAGTCCAAACCTAAATAGAGAGGAATTCCAAGGGTTCGAAACTACTCTAAAACACTTCGACCAAATTCAAAAGGGTTTACCGCCTAAATCTTGCCGAAAAGGAATTGTGTCCTTATTGAATTGTATTCATATGGGTTCGGGTTGTGCGTCCCCGCCAAAAGTCATCGAGCTGCCAAAAAGTAGTTCGCGCCGTCGCGAATCTGGGTGCTGTCATCGCAGAAGGAGCGTCGCCGCCAATAGAAGCACCGGCAGAGAAGATCCCCCGAGGGAGGAAAACTCGTCGTCGCCGTTTGACGAGGGACGGAGTTGGCGCGCAATAGGTGGATGGAACTCGCGCGTGCGTGGATGGGTGACGCCGGAGACCAATGGGTAGGCGAAGTTGCAAATGAAAAGGGATTTGGATTGCGATTACTTGAGAATGAAGCTTAAACTTGGATGAAAAGGATTTTCGCCGGTGAATCTAAATTCAATGGAGAAAGAAAAAAGGACGACCGAAGGACGGAGCATAGAAGAAAAGGACGAAGGATACCATTTACCAACAGTCTTCTTTTGCCATTGCCTTTTTAATAGAAAATTATTTATACAGCACCGATGATATGATCCTGTGTTATCCGACCTACCCTAGTTTTCTACATCGGAAATCCCGTTGGCTGCCACGTTTTAGCTTCATACAAAGATACCCATTTATATTTTTATTTATTTTTATTTTTATTTTTGCCCATATCGTATTTTCCAAGCGAAATTTTTCATAAATTTTTATTTTTTTAATGAATTATTTCTCTTTTTATTATAATTTCTAAAACATTTTAATAAATTTAATATTATTTCAAAATAAAGAATAGAATATAGTTTTTACCCTTCACTTTGAAATTTATGTAGTAAGTGACACCCGTTCGGGCTAAATTGGATGTGTAGTACTTCTTTACACACGATCCAACATGCGAACGTGGACCCACCAGGTAGGATCGCGTACCCCCTGGCTCTACAGGTTGAGCTAGCACTCGCTGACGGGCTATTGCATGACACCCGGAGGGAATGACGACTGTCGTATCATAATGGGAAACATGATGGTCATAATTAGTCATAGTATACGCGTTTGCACCATCATAATGGAGAAATATCTCGATGCACGTGCCACACAGTTACGCATAAGGTTCCTATACTTCCCATCATGACATAATAAATAATGTAAGATAATCTCCGTTCTTTTAAAGCAAATTAAATTAGGTAATTATGCATACATAATTCTTATACATCATTTCATATACATAACATAACTTCCAATGACATGACATAATGAGGTTGTGCATCATAGATTTCCTTATTTCAAAACATATCATGACATGTCATACCATATCATTGTTGGGTTCTATATTCTAAAACTCATAGTTTGTAAACAAAAACATATTTTATTTTCAATAAAAATTGTTATTGAATAAAGTGAATTTTACGATTATTAATCTAAATCCAATAAGCGAAGAACACTCTAACTATAATATGACTACTTGAACTATATGCAAACACATAAGAGTGGATCAAGTTTAAGTATATAGTCAAAATGATCTATAGTACATGGATAAGGCTAAGTGTCATATCGTGAAAACACTATGGATGCGGCCCACTTTTGTATATGATATAAATAATGTGATTACTAAATTGTACATACGGAGACATGTGAGTAGGGGCGTCCTATGCAATGAGTATTGCATAAGATCGGACCATGAAGAAAATCACTCTCACTTTATAATGTCATTTACTGTTGAGATTGATTTTTTCATTTGATGACCTAGGTAACTCGATCTTAATTCTGAGCTAACCATGAACTCCTGTTTATTCGGAATTATCTTTATATTTGCATGGGTGAGAGTGGCTCGAGTTCGCTGACTCAATAAGCCTCCCATTTCAAGGGTAAGACTGGGTGAATAGCTGGGGACATAGAGTGCAAGATGGAATAAACTCCTACTCACTTTGGAGGGATAGAAGAGAGGTAGTTCTCTGAGTACTGACTCCAGGTTTTGAACAAGGGGGCAATTTGGTTTACTAGTTGGACCACAAAAACCAATTGTTCATTAAAGGGTCAGTGGGACATAAGGAACAAAAAGTAACTTCAAGGGTAAAATGGTAAATTGACCCAACTCTAGTTATGAACAACTAGATCGACTTACTAATCATGGTTATATCAAATGGACAGAAATATATCTATAGTGAGGGGAGTGCAACTACTAGGCTACAGTGGAGTGTCCTTAGTTAACGAATGTTGATTAACAAGGTTAATGAGTTTAGCCGGTTAATCTTGGATCGTTGGAGCCCATGATCTGTAGGTCCATTAGGTCCCCCTGCTAGCTCATATTGGACTAAACCATAGAATAGTGTGACGAATGAGTTCGAAGTGTCCGAATTCAAATTAGGGAATATGCGTTATATTTAACCGCATTTTTGTTTTATTTACTAATTAAACAAAAAGAGAGAATCGGAGATATTTAAATAAGATTTAAATATTTTAATTATAAATAGTGATTCATAATCAATATATGTGGGAATTGATTGGGATTGACATTTTATTTAATGTTAAATATTAATTAAATTGTTTTATTAATCATTTAATATTATTTTGATTTGAAATTAATTATTTAAATTAATTTGTTGAATTAAAATAAACAAAGTCAAAATGTTACTTCACCTAATGGAAAAATCCATGCTTGAGTTGGTGGAATATTGAGTGTCAATATATGATTTAACCAAACTTGCATGCTTGACACATAATCCCACAAATTTGAGTGAAATTTTGAGTGTCAAAATTTGGTTTGACCAAATTTGCATGTTTGCCAAATAAACTCCACAAATTTGAGTGGAATGTTGAGTGTCAAAATTTGATTAATTCAAACTTGCATGCTTGCCACATAATCCTACAAATTTGAGTGAAATTTTGAGTGTCAAAATTTGGTGAACTCAAATTTGCATGAACATGCAAATATGACTCTATAAATAGAGTGCTTGGGAAAAACCTTGAGAAAAACTCTCACAAACTCTTTCTTCGTATATACTAGATCCCTTTCAAGTTTAGTCACTTATCGGATTCCATAATCCCGTTCTAAGGCCGGAGAATAGTAGAGAAGACACTAGTGGTGGTTCGAAACCAGTTCGTGAGAAAAAAGAAATTTGAACTACAAAAGGTTAGTACTCAAACTCCTTGAATTTTAATACTTATGAACATGATAGTTATTTACTATAATTGATGTTCTAAGAGTGCCTAAGATCCAAATTGCTTTTGCATGTGTTATATTAACCTCATCAATTGGTATGAGAGCAAGTTTTAGGCACTTTATTTACATTAATTTGAGCATGGTGGGTACCATTTCATGAATTAAAAATTGTGGATGCTAAAGTGGACGTTTATGGTTTTGGCATTTTTTTATGCTTCTATTTGATACCGTTATTGTAATTGGTTTGATGTGTATGGGCTTTAATGAGTGAAGAAAGGTATGTAATTTTTATGGAGTCATTAGAGTCCATTTTAGGTCGTAATTGATCGATAATGGAAATGATGACAAGTTGAACCGAAGAAGAAGGAAGAATTTTTGTTTCCTGACCCAACCCAACTCGCGGCATGTTCGAGGGAGTGGATCACATTATTTTTTAATTATTAATGTAATAATTTAGTTAATTGATTGCTTTAAAATGCCAAAACCAGTCCATTTTAGTGTGTTTAATTAATTATGCATTGTGAATGTATGTTTTAATTAAATAGAAAATGTAATTGCATAAAGTATGTCATATAGGTTTAAAATCCCACCATAGGTTAAGCATGTTTCATGCATTACAAGTATGTTATAAGTGTTATAATGTATAGTATGCATGTTTAGGGTTCCATGAGTGATAGATATAAATTGTTATATTATTGCATGGAATGGATGATTATATAATTGTCATATAAAGCATGTTAGATGCATGTTATAGGTTATTTTCAACGTCATAAAACGAGATAGACGTTAAAATCTATAATGAAGATAAGTGCATGCTCACTTAGGGTTAAGAACCAAGCACGATCAATTTTAATAGTTAAAATAGGTCGATATCTTGTAAAATTGCGGTTACAAGAAAGCTCACCTAGGACGATCTTGTCTAAGGCTGGAGGTACTTAAGTTGACGGTTTACAGAACACCTGCTACCTGGAGATCGGGCTAGTACTTGAGCTTAGTTAGCCCAGTTTTATGAGCATGCGTGAGTGATGTAATTTTTTTTTTTAAAAAAAAATCACCTAGACTTAGGTTATATTTAATTAGCCAGAATATTGAGAATACCCAACCGTCTAAAATACTTAATGGGAGGAAAAAAGTATATGAGATACATAGTTTTTTTTTTTACGCTCTCTGGAAAATTCACACCGTGAGATTCATACTCGGCCTCGTGTCGTCCTGGGAGCGGCCTCCATTCGGAAGGTGTTTGCATGAGTCAATAACAAGGTGAATAGAGAAAGTATTTATAGTAAGTGGAAGGAAGTATATCAACACATCCTATGATCTCCACCACTAGGTTGCACCGTGAGATACCATGTTCTGCCTACATGTTGCCCTAGAGCAACTACCCATTCGGAGGGTCGTAACATGGGAGAAGAAACAACGCAAACTCCAAAAATGGATAGGATTTCTTAGGTTCATTCCCAACTTTGGCTTTTTCATTCGATAGCATTGTTGGAGCCGATCTCTAAGGTCTGAAAATGGCGGGTCACACTTACAAAGAATTACTAAGAGTTAGTATATTCTTGACCAAAGTGGCGATAACTAAAACATTATAGGAATAAGAGTTATTCTAGGATTAGTGTTTAAGTCAAGAATGTCTTGGTTTAGTAAAGGAGTGATTGATTGCCCCTCGATAGCAGTTACTCTGACTCACTAAAGTATCGTTGAAAATGATAATTTTTTTGATACATTATTACATTTGCTAAACCTGATTGGATAAAAAAGGATTAAGTCAATTCACTAATAGAATTTTCTTTATATCACAGCATGACAAGCTCAATAATACAATTACTCGCTTTTGAGAAATTAAACGGCGACAATTACGCAACATGGAAATCAAACCTAAACACAATACTTGTAATTGATGATTTAAGGTTTGTTTTAACTGAGAAATGTCCTTCAAACCCCAGCTCAAATGCAAACCGAACAGTTTAGGATGCATATGACAGATGGACAAGGGCAAATAACAAAGCCCGAGTGTACATTTTAGCCAGCATATCTGATGTTTTGGCTAAGAAACATGATGTTATGGGTATTGCTAAAGAGATTATGGAATCTCTGAAAGGGATGTTTGGACAACTGTCCTTCTCCCTTAGACATGACGCCATAAAATACGTTTACAACTGCCGTATGAAAGAAGAGACCTCAGTTAGAGAACATGTCCTGGACATGATAGTCCATTTCAATGTGGCAGAAGTAAATGGAGTTGTCATTGATGAGAAGAGCCAAGTTAGTTTTATCATGGAGTCTCTTCCGAAGAGCTTCCTACAGTTCCGCATGAATGCGATGATGAAC